GCCAAGAAGATCCTAAACGTCTCTTCGCAGCTGGAGAAGCTCATCTCGCAGAACTACTACCTCAACCAGAGCGCCAAGGACGGCTACCGATCATATCTGCATGCCTACGCGAGCCACAGCTTACGTACCGTATTCGACATTCACAAGTTGGATTTGGCCAAGGTCGCCAAGAGCTTTGGCTTCCCTACACCTCCTCGCGTTGATATCACGCTAGGCGCGAGTATGAGCAGGGACAAGAAGACGCAGGGAAGAAGGGCATACGGAAGTCAGCCACGGCAAGCTCAGAAGTTTAAGAAGCACTAGAGCTGGACCAAAAGTTGACTGATTACGGCGTTCCGGTTACATACCTAATCTAGTGGTATACCAACTTTCGTGTTGCTAGGGTAGATCATTCATAAGAATCATGTGACAACAAGGAAAAGCATGCAAAGTGATTTAGAAGGTGGCATGATGGCATAGCCATCTAATTAATCGTGTATCCGCCGTCGACCACCAACGCGTGGCCTTGGATGAACGAGGCTTGGCTTGAGCACAGGAACAAAATAGCATCGGCCACTTCATCCGGCGTTCCCATTCTTTGCATGGGTGCGATATTGACTGCAGGTCTTAGTCTTTCCATAACCTCTGGCGAGCCCGTCGTCATTGGTGTCTCTATCACGCCCGGGCATACGCAATTGACTCGAATCCCATCTCGCGAGTAGTCAATTGCATCGGCCCGCGTCATGTTAATGATAGCTGCTTTTGACGCGCAGTAAGGTGCTATTCGTAAATGAGCCAATGTACGTAATCCGAGTATGTTCTCACCATCTAGACTCTAGGTAATTGGTATTTAGAAGGCCTACCTGCAGCCGGCCGCCCAACAATACCAAGCTGACTAGCGACATTCACCACGGCACCCCTTTGACCCGGGTGTTCGTCCAACGGCTTCTGCCTTATCATCTGCGCCAGCGCCGCACGGGACACCAACCAAGTACCTTTCCAGTTGATATCCGTGATGCGCTCAAACTCAGATAGCGGCGTCTCGTGCGAGCGCAGCGGCTCCCCCAGCACGCCGGCGCAGCTGACGGCGTAGTCGAGGCGCGAGAATTTGCTGGTGAGTTCGGCGAAGAACGATGCCACAAAGCCTTCGGAAGAAATTTCGCCTTCGCGCGCTAGGACTTGCGCTTTGGGGTTGATGGAGAGAATGGCTTCTCGAGTGCTGGCGAGGGACTTGATGTCCGTGATAGCCAATCTAGAACATCCGGACCGCGCGAAACCCCGGGCGACGGCGGCGCCGATTCCTATTCGCTTACGTGAGTGGGTGCCGAGGGTGGTTGGGCGAGGGGTTGGGGTTGTTACCTGTGCCGGCTGCTCCCGTGATGAAAGCTACTCCGGGAAGCTTGAAGATCCCCGATGCCATCGTCAGATGTTTTTCACATTTCGCATCAGAATCACGGCAATTGGCTTATAGTAGATATCAAGTGTTCTATGTATTTTAAAACTAAAGACTATCTGAACCTCGGTCCTCCTCTCAAGCTCACTTTGATAGGTTAAGCTTATCGTGAAATCTACGCCGATCGGGCCGCACCGCATGCATGGATATTTCGGGGACTGCAGTTCTAACCATCTAATCATAGCTAGCTATATAAAATATCAAATTAGGTATAGGGTCAAATAAATTGCCTAAGGTAAATGCCGGGTTCGGCATTGCAACACGGATCACAAGTGGGATTCGGAATCCGGTTCCCGGGAGTGGGAAGTGCTGAATTCCAAGCCTATATAAAGGTAGCGGAACTCCAGTTCGTCATCTTCAAAGACCTTGATGTGGTAGTTTGAAATACGACAAATAGAATCATTAACTTCTCCATCTAATCACGAAGCACTACCTATATCACCAATATTTCTACTCAAAATGACCGTCTCCATGATGATCGGCTACCCCAAAGGCGGCAATTTCAACGCAGAGTACTATCTCAATAAACATATGCCGATCGTTAATCCCGTGTGGAAGCCATTCGGCATGGGAAATTGGCGCGCCATGGCCCCGACAGATACGGATAAGAGCCCATACGCCATGCTAGTGGAGATCGAGTGGCCCGATATGGAGTCATTCCAGAGGGCAATGGCAGAGACGCCGGCAGAAAAGACCAAAGAAATAATGGACGACCTGAAAAATTACACGGAGAAGGAGCCTGTGGTTTGGTTCATGGAGAAGGCTGGCGGATCTTAAACAGGTACCTAAGCGCCCAAGCGGAAATGCACAGATCATTATTTCGTGACAAGTCATATTCTTCTAGAGATCGCACGTGGCGTTGAGCTAGATCTAAATATTATGCTGTCATTGGACATGAGGGATCACCAACTCGCACTTTATTTCGTCGCACCCGATTTGCAAAACTCAGCGACCTGCACTCCCCAAGCCTCTTCCTTCTCAATGCCCGTGCTAAGACCCAGCTGGGGACTGATATGATTATGCCCTTCCAGTACATCATACGTAATATCAGCGCTCTTCCACTCCTTCCTAAAGTCCTTTGCAGAATCATAGATCAAATCAGGATCCAGCTCACTGACCAATATGCTGATCTTGACGCCGGGCAGAGTTGGCTCGGGCCCCTTCTTCTTTTCATTTAGCAGTATGCCCAAGGACGAATTTTCGAAGATCGTGTCCTCCCCCAAGTAGGCTCTGAGTATTACGTTGTCCTCTGTGCCCCAGTGGAACGGCACACCAAGCAAGATCGCACCCCGCAGTAGTACACCTGCGCCTTTCCGCTCCTCAGCTACAACCGCTTCTCTGGACTCCTTGAACTCAGGAGCCAAGAGGTATGTGGAAGCGTGTATGCCGCCAGCGGAGTTTCCAAGCAGGAACAAGTCAATCGACTCGTATCCTTGCTGTTGCGCCAGGCTTGTCTTGATCCAGTCCACCACTAACTTGACATCCTCGCCGCCGGACGGGTACTTGGCCCCGTGAGAGAGGAGACGGTAATCTGGGATAACGACCGTGAAACCAAAGTGCGATGCGAAATAGTGGCCAATATTCCCGAACACCAAGCTATGCGCAAATCCCTCGTTCACCTTATCGCCGCCCACGAAGCCGCCGCCGTATAGGAAGACGAGCACGGGCTTGGCGCGGAAGGGGGCCGTAGGTTCCTTGTCTGGGTAGTAGACGTCTAGCTGGTGCCGCGGCGCGAAGCCGTACTTATGCGTCTCTCGCCGTGTCGATCTAATATCCTTCTCCTTTGCGAGGATGAACTGCGCGTAGGCCGCAAACGTAGGCAGCAAGACATCGTCGATGCTGCGTCCGAGTGGCCTTAGTTTGTCCATTATGGCAGGTTTCTTTACGCAGTGTGTATGTTGTTTTCTAGATCCAAGAAAGGCCAAAAGAGGCATAAAAAGAGACGAAAAGATAGGGCCCCCTGTGGTATCTCGAGGACAATATCGATCTCGTCTTATCTCACGTACCTAATGTTGAGTACCAACGGTTGCATTGGAAGGATTGCGATGCGGGGAACGAGATGCAGCTTATAATGTCCCATATACCCGGGTCCATCTCACCCAACCCCCATTGAGCCTGGCGAGATTGATGTTGGGGCATTTCGTACGATAATCCATCGGCATTTAACATGTCCTCGCCGGGGTTAGTGGGACCAACAAGTGCCGTTATTCGGGGTTTAAGAGGAGCTCACGCACGACGGTATTTTGCACCAATGGAACAACATGGATTCTACAATAACTAATATTACTACTATGTGACGACGTGTCTACTTAGGAGTATATATCATCTTATTACTATTCCATCACTAAACTTCAAGATGTTGGCCTAGGACCAGACACCCAGCTATTCAAATGATTAGAAAAGCAGCTCGTGGCGAAGTAGAGTACACCAAGTGAAACTCACCGTTGCCACATCCGGCCAACGAATCCCGAGCTATACTGATCTGATATGCTCTCGCGCCTTTTTACGGATTCGTGGTCGTTGGATCTCTTCTGGTCCATGAGATTACTGAAGTTGGGGCCGGAAAACTAATGAGTTGTTATTAATCTGAGAACTCGGAACACGGACGATTTTTTTTAAAACAAGGGGAAACTAACAACACCGGTACTCGTGTTCTGGCCACCTTGATAACCGGCCTTTCCGCCCTCGGATTTTACGTTGCCCCAATTGCTCATTGTGAACAATTTTTATCTTTTATTTAAATTTATTACAAATGTTTGAATAAATACTTCGTGGTGTTCTACAACATGAGTAGATGGAAAAGAATTACGAGTCAAACTTGCAGCGGAATGTTATATAATGCTTAAAATGAGAAGCGATTAGTTCTTTGACAACATATGAGAATGATGAGTCGTGACGTACTTGGAATAGGCAATGGACTAACTGACCTCATTGGTGGGCAATATTGACGAAGTGGTGAGGTCATCGCGACCAACCAGATTGTTCAGTTAAAGGAAGTCTGAGTCAAGACATCTACAAAGGGGACCACCATTTCGATAGCAGGAACACAAGTTGGGACAGAAATCGAAGTAAAGGTAATTGTTAAATTTAGTTTATTGTAAAGAGCCTTTGAACATTGTGCTCTAGTTCAAATTCATACTAACCATCATCTATTCAGCCGGCGGCTTTTTAGTTAGAAAGAGCTTACTCTACCCATTCGACTTCTTTCACTACACGGTATTTCTTGTAAATTCCTCCAATGTACCATGTTGAGCTCGCTCGGACATCTAAGTGATATACACCTCAATAACCTCAGCGTACGAGCCTGGACTAGATACAAACGGAAACCACTCATACAAGAATTGTACATCAACTAGGTAGTTGCCTTTCTTATAAATAATAATTATAGTGTTTGACCAGGGCTTCTCTAACGAGTATATTTCCACTCCGAGCCGGGAATCCAAAATAGGGAATGAGTCTGTGTCGATAACATCATGGACGGCCATGAATACATGATTCTTCTAAGGCGCAATAAACTTTCCCAAGAGATCCAGGGAACCGCGGAATTGAAGCTGGCGTCGGCCTGTAGGGCTTCATGGCGCAGTGGCAGCGCGCTAGGCTATGATCATAGCCTAGAGGTTCTCCGATCGAAACGGAGTGAAGCTTTTTTTTAATTTTAAATTCTTCATAGAAACGTAGGATATCATCCAAATGTTTTACCACTGAAACCACAATATTCATCTTATCAATGCGTTGTCCATACTGGATTGTCAAATGTATTGATTCCCTAAACCAGGTAGCCTAGACATACAAGTGACCAACTCTTAACGAATTTTATCTCAAGTTTACCTACTCAGACTGTACACCATTGGGAATTAGGGATTAGGTAGGTACCTCCTAGGACAACTGGTGAGCCACAAAGGCGGGCTCTCAGGCGTCAGACGTCCCATCATTCTTCGCTTGCCTCCTTCACCAGAGCCCAACACTTCCGCATCCCCGTGCCCATTGACTCCTCATCTACACCCACGGCATCACACCACCGGCTCTGCACCCCCTCTTTTCTCCTGCTCCCCTTATTCTCCTTCTCCTCATCACAATCCTCACCCGCACCTCCTTCAAGCTCAAACAGATGAACATGCATCGTCAACTTCAGGTGCGAGAACTGCCACGGCACATTCCCGAGATCACGCACATGTCGCACACCACCACCGACCAAACCCGCCACGTATCTCCCAGCCTCACTCCGCCTCATCTTCCCCGCGCTGTTCTTAGGATCCTCCAGAATCCAACTCGGCAGTTCCCACAGACCAGCCAGGAGCCCCTTGTCCGGACGGCGGTGGATCAGGTACTGATATTGTCTCTGCCCATCGCTGCCGTCGCTAGTAGCACGCCTAATCGCGCAGACTAGTGTTTCCTCTTCCCGCACGGCTTTCTTGACGACTTTGACTGGGAACTTGCGCGCATGGTTCGCGATCACCTCCACTGCGGTCGTGCTTAGAGGAGCTGGAGACAGTGACGGGTTTGGCGGTTTAGAAGTAGAAGTAGACGTAGTTTTCGCTGATCGGGTGCTAGTCCGTGTAGTTGTAGTAAACGCGAATGCTTGCAAAGTCGCCTGCATCCGTGACTTAGACTTCTGCTGCTTAGACGTCTCAGTCACGCTGATTTGAGTATTCGACTTATCATCGTCATCCTCTGCGAATTCCTCGAAGGGTTTGCAGAGGGTGCACGCATCTTCGATATCTGTGACACTACCATTACTTGGTGCAGGCTTAGACACATGCCCCTTTTTAGTAGCGAGCTGCAGACCCTCGTCGTAGGCGCGACAGCTCGCGCTGATGGGACAAGCTGCGCAGTTCGGCTTCGGTGTGCATACCGTGCTGCCGAGTTCCATGAGCGCCTGTCCCCATCGGCCTGGCCTATCACTGAGTTGCTGTTCTCCCTCATCCTCTTCCGCTTCGGGCGCATCTGTCGAATCGCGAGCAACTGCCTTGACCAACCGATCAGCCGCCGCCCACAGCACATCAATCACGCTCTTATCTGCTTTCACATCCCCAAACAACCCAAGCTGACGGCTCAGCACGCGGAGCACATTCCCGTCCACCATCGGCGCCGCCCGCCCAAACACAATTGCCGAGATGGCGCCGGCCGTATACCGCCCTACGCCCGGCACCCGCGCAACTAACTCATCTACGTTCGAGGGCAAGAGTCCTTGCATTTCCTTGTCCGCGCACACGATTTTGGCCCCGTCGTGGATCCTCGTTGCGCGGCTATAATAGCCGAGCCCGCGCCAAGCCGCGAGCACCTCGTCCGGCTGCGCCTCGGCCAGGTCTTGGATACTAGGCCACCGGGCGATCCAGCGGGTCCAGTAGTCGATGACGGTGGCTACGCGCGTCTGCTGCAGCATGATCTCGCTGATCCAGACCTCGTATGCGCGGTGCTCGAGCCGGCTGCGGAGCTCCATGTCGTCTTTCACGGTGCTTGGGTCTATCCAGGCCTTGCGCCACGGCATATTCCGCTTCGTGCTGACTTCGTCGAACCATGCTAGTAGAGACCCCCGCCCCTGTTCGCTATCTAAAAGCAGCGGTCTATGGTAGCTTAGATTGTGGGCGCGATTGGGCGGGCTACACGTCGCAGAGCCATTGATTGCGCTACTGGCAAAGATGCGCTCGTGTATTTGCGTACTGGCATTCCCATTTTTGCTCTTTTTACTGGGACCCGTTGCTATCTTTCGCCTCTTAACGCGTGATTTCGCATTAGTAGCGTCTGCATCTGAATCTGCATCCGGCTCCCTGACAATCTCCTCGGCATCGTCAAAAAAATCTGACGCGTCGTCGCGCTGAACCGCGGTTCTCTTCTTGCTTTTGGGTTTCCCGGATGCAATAAGCGAGGGCTCCTCGCTTTCGGCAGTGAAGAAAGCCGATTGTTTTGAAGAAACAGTATCATTTGGCAATGTCGAAACCGACTGCCGGGTTATTCGTGACGATCGTCGCATACTGTTTTGAAAAAAAAAATGTAGAACTTGATATCTACAGACTGTGAGATGGCGTCGCGATTGATAGCCAATCGCGCAGTCACGTGAGCGCATGATAGGGGTTCACTCTTTCCATATTGTAATTTGTATGTCCTCAATATACAGGGCTACGAGCGACACTTGTAAATAACGAAACAAGGCTTGGACCTTGGTAACGCAGACATGTAATCTAAAATCATTGTTCTTATTCTTTGCTCACTACCTAGGTATTCCAATCCAAGATATTTTGCATAACTCGTATCCAACTTCTCCTTTCTTTTTCTCGTATGACATATGTATGTAATATCTACACTAACATTGGTTGACATAGGCTCACGTAGCCCGTATGATAACTCGCTGAACGCCTTCTCGGCGTCTACATCCTCATGCTGATACATCCCTCTCTTCATCTTCATTCCGTGAAATCGACATGTCTCGATACCATCACTTCTTTCATAAAATAATAAGCTACGCAACACATTAGTACCTTGCCCTTCCCCTATACCATATCGCACATCTGTCGCATTAGGCTGGCATGAGACTAACCTCGATTAGCTTCTCCGTTAATATAGCGCACTGCTTGTCAGGCTCCTGGGTATGATTGAACGAGCTCGACTTCCACAGCCCCTCGAATCCCATGTCCTCTAATATCTCGCTCAACATGCCGGTGCTTTCTAGGGCACTCGTGAACTTGGCATTCGAAGACAGCGTCTGGAGTAGAGCATGTGCCGATCCTAACGTTGTTTGGCTCTGGCCGTGGAGTAATATCTCGTCTAGGAAAGACGCGATGGTAGGACATCTATCATACATTAATTAGCATGTTACGTGCAAGGTCTAGCAGGGACGTAAACTTACAAGTGTAAAATCACGGCCGGCCTTCCTGTTGCCAACTCGTTCAACCAGACGAGGGTATGGGTTTGTGCAGCCTCGTCTAGGATTTGGAAATCAACCAATTCAATAACCGTGTTGAGTAGGAGGTCCTTATCCTTCACACTATCCAGGTCGCGTAAGCTTCGAGTCGGCCGTAGATTGGCAACGCTTATTGGGTTTATGCCAGCCGACCAGAGGCACTCCTTCAAATCTTCGGGATTGGTTGCCCGAGCTTGGATGAGGGCTAGGTAGGGCGATGCATGAAATTCGCTGGAGAAACTCTTTGCGGACGGATTTGCAGAACTGTCCGTTGTCATCTCAAGGAAAGTTGAGAGAACCCTTAGGGCAGGAACCTTGGTGATGGGATCTGTAAGACCTCGTGCAAGACAGGCACAGACTGCGTAGTGGAAACTATCAGCCGTAAAATGGATGCCATACGCATCATCTAAGGGCAATGTCGCCTCTTCTAACTGTGCTCGACCTTGTAGGAGATACTGGGCCATCTGCTTATTCCTTAACTCAATTGTTGTCCCGATATTCGTCATGACAGCTTCTAGAAACAGAGCAGCACAGTTGAATAGGCTAGCTGGTACGAGACGGATTAATGACATCGCCAACCAGAACAATTGTGGCCCATAACGGGAAGCCGAGGTAAGCTTAGCTATCATCTTTGACAACGCTGTAACTATAGCGACAAGCATGTCGCTACCGTTGTCCTCTCCGAACCGGCCAACGCTTTGGCGAAGAGCTACTAGGACTTGATAGAGCAGATCGTCGTCGACTTCCTCGCGTGCTAAACACCCCATCACAGTAAATGCTCGAGGTTGAATCGCAGGATTGTTCTGGAATGCAGTGCTGGCCACCAAGCTCATCCATCTCGACCGCCACGCGTTGGCCATGTCAACAGATGGCGCTGCGATGGTGCAGGTCTCAAACAATAGACTGGCCAAGTTCTCTATAACTGAGAGAGCAGGTCCCGTCTCTTGTGTTGTTGAAATCGAGGTTCCATCCCGCGCTAGGACCAAGGGAACAGCAAGGCTGTCGTTTCTTGGCTCAGATAGGACCTCGAGGATGCTGCGGAGTTTCGATAGTCGTGCATCCTCTAGTCTGAATGAAGTGCAAGCTGCATGTATCGAATTGATGAGCAATTTATGCACCAGCGCCCGAATATCATAAGAGCCAGTGTTCGACAGCATCGTGACAATATGAAATATCTCGGGTAGATAGAGCTGCGACTGAACACCGCAATCGAACGAGAGGGAGAGGCAGAATTGGAGTAGAACACACAATTCATTCCAAACAGCATTCTCGGGAAGATACTTTGTTGGTCGAAGTGAAGACCTGTTCAGCGCCTTCCGCAACCTAGATATTATCTTGCCGCGGAGTGTGATTGTGCCAATAGCTGTCACTATTGATGTTAAGGCTTGAGAATGTTCGTCGTAAAGCCCAACAGCTAACGCAGCCTTGATGATCTCGTCTAGGAAGATGTCGAGTAGGACCTCGTCCTTATAAATCGCCGGCCAGGCGGTGTATTCCAAAGTTAAGGCTAACCCTGGCTCCATCACCGTCACATCTATCAACTTCCGGAAGATAGTAGCGATTTTCTCTTTGGCCTTTTCGCTATCGGCCTCGTCTACTAAGAGTGACGTGCGCAGGCTCGGTATCCAGGGTGACATATAGGCTAGACTCAATGGTTTCTGCTCTTCAGTGAAGCTTTCCCACCCGACGAAGAACTCGTTTAGGAAGTCGGGCGTTAACTGCGGTTCTTCCGAGGCCAGAGTTTTGC